GAAGCCTCGGTAACGGTAAAAAAATTTGTAAGCGGTACTTCTGCATTGTGGTTCGAATCCGCCAGTACTTTCGAGCCGGTATTGCTCTTCAAAACCTATTACCTTACTATAGTAATTTGTATAACGTAAACAGAGCACGTCTGTTAATCGAAAAACCGTAATATCAATCTATGTCCGGAAGACGAGCTGTCGCTGTTCGAGGCGTTACAACTAGAACGTCATCTGTAACATTTGGTCGCTTTTCAGAATATAACGGTAAAGAGTTTTAGATAGTTCAAAGTCTAGTCTATACAGAATAACACAGATCAACAAAAAACGAATAAATTAGGAACATGACAACGCGATGGAACACGACATTGAGAACATAAGTTGCACGGGATAGCATGTTCAAGATTTAAAAGTAAGTGTGTGAGCCATTAAAAAATTTCTCTGGATATAACACGGTAGACACGGTTCCTGCGGTATTGAACATATCAATGATAAGATGAAACTGTTTTCCGATTTTTGAAATGAAATGAATGGAGTTTTACGTCATATTTTTGCACCATGTGGACCTACTTTTGAGGATCCGTTGAAATATTGTGATTCAAGAACATCATCATGTCGATAAAGTTGGGAACACGATAACTTATCTATGAATTCAACAATTATTGAGAACATGAACGCCGCCCCATATCTACAATGGTCTCACTTTTCGTAAGAATACACAGTTTATAAGAATCGTGGTTTTTCGAACACCAGCGTGATCCGAACATCCGGGAACACAGTTATTCACGAATTGAAACACACACGCCCAGAGAATATCTGATATTAGTATAAGATACTGAAAACATTATAACTGTGTTTCCACTGACATAAAAAGCCGGCTCTTAGCCGGCTTTTTTGTGTTTCCACTGACAAATTGCCGAACCGTTAGCGTTTGGGAACCGTAACGGTTCGGCAATTGAAGCTTTTCTCGTTCGGCAATTTATCGGGGGCCAAATGAAAGCCGGCTTTCGTTTACTCAGTGGAAACACAAAAAGCCAGCTTTTTCTCGTTCGGCAATAGGGGGCGTGTCGATAAAAAGAATTCTTATCAGAATCAAAACCAGCATTTGAACTTTCTTTCGTCACTGCAAGTATCTACGAATGTCCAAGTTACATCCACTGTAAGAATTGCGTTTTCTCTTCTTTTTAACTAAAAATTTCTAAGTTAACATCGAATTGGCCGCCATTATTGCTTTGTTTACCTTAACTGGTCATGCGCAATAATGTACTTCCGATTTAAGGATAGTCTTGTACATCGCGTGCTGTCAATAATGTGCGACTCTATGATCGAGACCAAAGTCGTTCGGGAACCAGAAAAACTCAGTGTAAACGCAACGTGTTCGGCAATAAAGCTAGCTCTAAGCACTTAGAGCTAGCTTTCCTTCACAATTGTCAGTGGAAACGCAGTTATAGTCTATTAAAATGCGAGTTGCTTCCTATATAACATTATCATAGTCTATTAAAATGTGAGTTGCTCACTATAACATTATCATAGTCTATTAAAATGTGAGTTGCTCACTATAACATTATCATAGTCTATTAAAATGTGAGTTGCTCACTATAACATTATCATAGTCTATTAAAATGTGAGTTGCTATAACATATACATTACCATCAAACCCAGAAAAAATGTGAGATGCTATAATATACATTATGATAGTCGAGTGAGAAAATTGTAAATTGCTCTAAATTATTGTATTGAAATATTGATAATCATTTGCTTTACACATTGGGCATACATCATGTCCTATCACTA